TGAAGCTGCAATATTCTTAGAGGTATATATATTATCTCCTTCACATTAATAATATCATTTAGTTTAAAATATATATAATAATTTCTGTTACATTATATAGTATATTTATAATGATTATTTTAAATATAAAATATTATTTACAAAAAATTATTTTAATAGGAAGGCAGAAATAATGAAAAGTTTGATTCTCATCCAAAACATCCAGAAGATTTACCAGCATATCTCTTAGTTCATAATAATTGGTATTATGGATTAGATTTATTAACTTCCCTTATACTTTTGATTTTAGCTCTTGCAGAAGAGCCAGCAGTACCATTGTTTCAAGTAAGTCATTGAAGAAAATATTTTCTTTCTGTTACATTGTTTATTTATTTTAATTTTAGATACCAGTATGGATACATGGATCTATAGAACTTTTTGCTTTAATAATTATAGGCATAGAATTAACTTTAAAATTAAGATGGATTGGATGGTCAACCATGTTAAAACACAAACGAACAATGTTGAAGGTAAAACAATTTAATAATTTATATAAAAATTTTATAGAACTTAATTTAAGATATACAATTATATCATATAAACTTTCTCATATATTTTATATTTTGATATAATAAATTATATTTATATTTAATAATTCTTTTCTAAATTGAATATTATAAGATTGAAATACAATTTTCTTCCATTACTTTGTAATATAGTAGTTACATATATTTCAGAATATTGATACAAAAAATATGAGGGTATTAATGAGAAGATAAGTAACATAGCAACTACAGACTATTTTAGATTACATTTTTAATGAAATGAGATAACGATAATTGTGTTAATTATTCATTTATAATATATTAATATTTTTATTAGAGGATTTTATAGAAGTATAAATAATATATATATATATATATATATATATTATTATTTTAAAATATATAATTTTAATATTACATATGAATATTATAATATTGTATATTATATATATATATATATATATATATATATATATCAATGATCATATTGACTAATTATTTAACTAATTATTTAACTAATTATATATTACTATATTTTAATAAAAAACAAGAATATTAATATTTTTTTAATACTTTTATTTAATATAAAAATTATATTTCTATTATCTAAATTATATGGATTTTATAAAAATTATCATATCATTTTATCATATTATTTTTCTCAACTATTGTATTTGAATATATCTTTAAATATTTCAAAAATATGTGCATTTAAATATTTACAAATGTTTGATTTTTTATCAATAATAGTTTCTTTTTCTAAATTAAAAAAATTGTATTAATATTAAATAAAGAAAATATAAAAATAAATTATTATATTAATTAAAATGATATTATTTCTTGTGACTATATATTTTTATATATTTCTATTTCACTTTTAAATAAAGTGAAAAATTTATATAATGAAAGTTTTTTGTATGCTACAATATATAATCATAAAAACTATATTTTTACATGATTTTTACAGTGTATCACATTGGTCATCATGTTTTTAGAAGCGATGACAGTATTAGTACGACAGTCATCACACTTTCGTGTAACACGCGCTCTAAGGCCTATCTTTTTAGTAGATACTAAATGTTTTGGAGGTGTTAGAAGATTTATTAGACAAATACTTTTAACACTACCTCCAATTCTAGATATGTTAGGCTTGCTTTTATTTTTCATAACACTTTATACAGTATTGGGATATTATATGTTTTCCGAAATGAATAGAAATTTTTCTACATTACAAGATAGTTTTGTGAGTTTATTTGTTCTTCTTACTACTGCTAAGTAAGTATTATTTTATAATTAAATTTCTAATAATATTTTTAATTTATTATGCTTTTAATTATAGATTAGATTTTAATAATAATTTCGTTATTTAGTTTTCCAGATGTAATGATGCCTTCATATTCAAAAAATAAATGGTATGCTATATATTTTGTATCTTATTTATCTACAATGTTGTACGTAATGATGAATTTGATGTTAGCAGTAGTTAATGAAACATTTACGGCAGCTGAACGTGATAAATTTAAAAAATTGTTTTTACATAAAAGAAAAGCATGTCAACATGCCTTTAAATTATTAGTTTCTAAACAAAGTCCGGATAAAATGCGATTTCGTCAATTTGAAGGATTAATGCGATATTATGCTCCAAATAAAAGTATGTAATATATCTATAGAAATTTGTTAATAAAATAATATAAATTAAATATAAATTATATAATATAAATTAAATTTAATACTATATAATTTAACTATATAATTATATAAATTTTTCATAGACATAAGAGATATTGTTTTAATGTATCAACATTTAAATGCTTCTGGAAGTGGAGTTCTAAGTATTGAAGAATTTTTAAATATTTATGACACTATTATACTTCAATGGGAACCACAATATTCTACTGTGCCTTGGTATCACAGTACATCACAACCTTTGCAAATACTCTGCACAGGAGCACATGCTGCTATTAGATGGTCTTATTTTGAAACTTTGATGTGTAAGTTTAAAAAAATTATAAATTATATAATATCAATTTATAACTTATTATATTTTTTTAAAAATTATAAAAAACATTTAGACATAATGATCATTGCAAATGGTATTGCTATGATAATAAGGATACTAGAGCCAGCTAATAATGTTCATAGTACACTTTTGTTTGCTGCATCTTGGGATACTTTTCTTTTTGGAGGAAGTGAGTAAAAGTATATATTATTAAATAATATATGAATACATAAATATGTAATATTATTTTTGAAAATTAATCATTTTTTATAGTATTTGTTGCTGAAGCATTGATAAAAATACTAGGACTTGGTACAAGACGATATCTTAGTTCTGGATGGAATCTTTTTGATTTGGGCACATCTATAATGACTCTTGTTGCTGCTTGTATTTTATGTCTTTTTCCTACAGCAAAATTTTTTGTTTTATTCAGACCACTTCGATTATTGAGATTATTTAAGATGAAAAAGAGATATCGAGATGTATTCGGCACGCTTGTAATTTTAACTCCATTAATGTCTTCTACTGCAGTAGTTATGCTTGTTTTATATTATTTCTTTGCGATTATTGGAATGGAATTATTTGCAGGATATAATATGCGAAATTGTTGCAAGTAAGTGTACACATGGATAGTATTTTTTTATAAATTATATTTTTGAATTAAATATTACATCATAATGTCTTTGAATACAGAAACACAACAGTTGAAGATTTTTATAAATATTCGGCTAATGAAAGTACTGCATTAGGATATTATTATCTTAACACTTTTGACAATCTTATAGCTAGTGGTATGACTCTTTTCGAATTAACGGTTGTTAATAACTGGTTTATCCTAATGAATGCATATGCATTTACTGTTGGAATGTATACACGAATATATTTTATGATATTTTATTTAGTGACTATGATTGTTCTAACTATTGTAGTATCTAGTTTCTTGGAAGCATTTCGATTTAGGATACATTATAAAAAATCAACATCTAAACGTGATGGTAATTATATTATTATATTTTTAATTATAATCTCTTATAATATAAATAATTATAATATAATATAATATAAATAAATAATATAAAAAATTAATTTTTTTGAAATTGAATTGAAATTAAATTTTTTTTTGCAATTATTATAATTTAATATTTTTCATTGAATCTTTTATTAATTTTCTATAAACATTACAGAAGAAAAAATGCTTCATGAAGAAGTAGAATTAAAATGGGATGAGTTGCAATATATAATAGAAGATTTCCAACTTCTAGAAAAATTACGGCCTTCACTAATAGTTGGTGTAAGTTTTTTTAAGTAGAATATATTTTTTTAAATATATATTATATAATATTTTTTACTATAATCATATAAAAATATTTCAGGGTACTACTGTTTTTATTGGATCACGTCCTCGAACTAGAGAAGTTTTACAAAGAAAAATGTATACTAATGAAATTACTGAATGGATTGCAGAAGCAAAACAAGCAGAAAGACAATTTTTATCAAATACTATTCATAACGTAGACGAAAATCATAGAGAAGATGCAATTTCTGAATCAGATTATATAGGATTAACAGATAATTCTCGACAAATACATCGTAATACATCAAATGTTGTATAATTGTCATAATAAATTAAATTTGCATTTATTATCATATTGCATTCGTTCATAATATATTAAAACAAGTATTAAAAACTTATAATATAAAAGTTTATATGTATATATAATAACGAAAGTTCTGACCAAAAAGTATAAGCATAAAGTAAAAAGAAATCGATAATATATTTAATTATAATATAAGAATAAAATTCTTTTATTTCGAATTATGTTTTGATATAATAGAGACAAATAATTTTATTAAATTTATTTATTTATTAAAAACATTATAATAATATGATCTCATTACAATAAATTTTTTTCATAAATACAGCTTCATTAAATTTGTCAATAATAAAATTAATTTTCTTCAAAATAATTATATTTATATTTAAATAATTATATATATATTATATATATATTATATTATATATTATAGTTTAATAAATTATAATTTTTATATAATATATATCATAACATATATTTAAATATAAATAATATATTTTATCTAAGAAAATTATTTTTAAATTTTTTAAATGCTTGAATAATTTATTAAACTATTTAAATTAATTTATTTCTTTTTTGATGATTTTTGATACATAATTTAATATATTCTTTTTAATTTAGAGAATATGTTTAAAATAATTTTATTACTTACATTGTAAACTATTATAATAAATAATATTGTTTTATATTATAAATAATATCAAAATTATATTGTAAGCAATTGACCAATTATATTTAATAAAAAACATTAAGGATGATAATTAATTATTATAATATAAAAATTAATTTATATTAATGTTAAAATTGCAATTTACACTTGTATAAAAATTATTCATGTACCTAAAAGTTGTCTATTATTGTCAGTAATTATAAATAAATTTAAAAAATATTTAAAGTTAAAATAAAATCACAATATATTATATATTAATGTTTATAAATTTATATATGCATAAAGACATAACTAGGAGAGCTATTTAGAAAGATTACAAAAATTTTAGACTTGAGTAATCTTAGATCTTCAACAAATCAAATCTTCAATCAATTTTTTTTCAAAATATCTGTTTCAAATTTATATTTGTTTTTTGTGTCTAATTTTCTATATTCGTTAAGTAGTTTTATAAAAACTTTTTAATTTGATTTCATTATAAATCTGTTGTTATTATTAAAATTGTCAAATAGAAAAAACAAGAACTCAAATAATTTAGGTGGATAGAAAAAAAAGAGCAGTGGCGGCAATAAATTTAAAATATTGAATAAATTCCATCCTAGTTACGATTATATACATAAATATCAATATTTCTAATATTCAATGTATATAATATTTATAATAATGTCATTAATTAATTTGTACACCAGAGCACCCCAAAGTTGTTAATTTAACAGTAAATCCGTCTGCAATTAATTTTCGCGAAATACTTGAAATAGTTTCTGGTTGTGTATCTGGTAATAAGAGAATATATGCATGTCCACCACCACCGGCACCTGTAAGCTTTGCTGCTAAACCATAATTTTGTGCTTCTGCACAAATTCTATCCAAAGATGGATGAGAAATTTGACATGTGGCTAACAATCCTTGATTCATGTTAATAAGTATCTATAATAATATATAATAAGTAATAAAAAAATTTTAATGTATATCAAAATATCAAATTTTTTTATCAATCAATAACATTTTAATATATTTCTAAATTTTAATTCATACAAATGTTATTTTTTTAAATAATGAATTAATTTTTCTATTTTAATTTATCAATAATATATCAAAATTTAATAAAATACTAACCATTAATTGTTTGTATCCTTCCAAAAAGAACTCATTGGTATTTGAGAAAGTTTTCAATTTTTGAATAATTTTAACTGCTTCTTTTGATATATTATCTATTGAATCCATAATCAAATCAATAATAACTGGATATGTATGTTTTAATTCTAATATTTTTTCAAGTAAAGCTTTAGTACTTCTATTTACTCTTGTATCTACTAATAAAATTTTCATTGCCTGTATATTATTTATTGGTTGTATATAATTACCCTTTTTAAATTCTATTATTGATCCATATGTACAGATGCAATTATCTATTCCAGATGGATTACCATGCATAATTCTTTCACAATTTAAAGCATATTTTGAAATAATATCTAAAGTAGAAAAATCAAATACTTTGTAAATATTTTTTTGTAAATATGACCAATGTACAAAACATGCAGCAAGACAAACTGCAAAAGAAGCAGAACTACCAAGTCCAGAATTAATTGCCAATTCTGTATTTAATTGAATTTGAAATGGTTTTATTTCCATTTCCTCTTTTTGTGCAATATAAATAAGAGTATAGAAGAATGCTTCTAAACTTAATTTTTGTTGAAAATTTGCATAACTAACAATACAGACAAATTCCTTTATTTTATTATAAAATATCTCATAATTTTCTATAAATTCCACATTTTTATTAATAAAAAAGAAATTTTGTATTTGTTGCAGAGGTATAGTAATAAATAAATTTACTTTAGAGAAACATATTTTAACAACTTGTTCTGCTTCAGGTAATTCTGTAAAATTTAGAACTGTACGTAAATCTATACTAGCTGCAACAGCTGTTTTTCCATATACTACAGCATGTTCTCCAAAAAGAATAACTTTTCCTGGTGCAGATACTTTAAATTGAATCATTTTAAATCTTTTGTATTTTATTTATAAAACTTAGAAATGGAACAATTTATTTTAAGAATAAATTATAACTAAATTGATTATTAGCGAAAGATACTTTTTTATCATTTCCTATTTTTTCCACTCTGCTGGTGTTAATGTTTTTTGTGAAAATGCATGAATTGTTTTAAGTTCTTTTTCTAATATTGAATTTACCAATCTGAAAAATTAATTACAATATATATATAAATATATTTGATGTAAGAGTATATTTGATAAAAGAGTAATATTAATAAATTTTTTACAATTTTAAAAAGGTAATACCTATGTCGTTGAAGTAAAGATTTGCCTTCAAAAATGGTAGAAACAATTGTTACAGAAAACTTAGCACCACAACCATCAGATTCATCTATAACTTCCTGTAACATTTAATGATAATATAAAAATTAATTAATATAAGATAGAATAAAATATTAAAATAAAACGATTTTTATTTTTCTAATATTATTAAAAGCTTCCTTATCTTTTATGAAATTTATATTAAATGATATAAATATTGTTTTGTTTATAATAATAAAGTATAAAAATATAAAATATAAAAATCACATTTTATAAAAATATTAATAATTCATATAAATAGATATATTATATAAATATTTTTAAAACTGACTTTTAATTGAACTAAAATATTCTAAACTAAATTGATTCTTCACGACAATTTTACATAATATAAGCGATAATATTTTACATGTGTTAACCACAAAAGCTTAAATTTGTATGTCCAATATTATTATGTTAATTTAGTAAATTATTATTTAATAATAGGGAAAAGTTCAAATTTTTATAAAACATTATATAATTTATTTAAAAAATACATTTATTTATGTATTTATTAATAAAGATAATTCATAAAAAAATGTAATTATCTAATGTTTTATTCCAACAATCATAATGCATATAAATAATATTATATATTTATAATTATACATAAATATTATTATGTACAATTTATATTTATAACATGTTCCTTATTTATAATATATTGTAATTTTTTTAATTATATTAAAAATATTTAGAAATAAGATAAATTTTAATAATTTATCAAAATTTTATATTAAGGAAAATAGTAATAATATAACATAAATTATATTGTCTTTTTGGTTTATTTTAAATTTATATTTGTTTTATATACAAATTGTTTATAATTAAAATACAAGTAGAAAATAATAAAATGTCCACAGGAATACATAGATATTAATAATGCAAAGAGATCTGGATATCTATTTGGAGGTTTTAAAAAACCACTAATAAGAGAAAGTATTATTATTCCTAGAACTGAGCAATAAAATAAAATTGTTTTCGAGAAAAACGAATAACCTAATAAAATAAAATTATTTTTATAATTTACAATATCTTTTTTTAGTTTTATAAAAATTGACTTATTCTTAATATTTTTTAAGTTTGCTTTAATTCGTTTTTGATTGGTTGCAATATATACATTTTTTTTCGAATTAGCATTATTTAGTAATTCATTATTATCAAATAAATTAGGATGAGTCCAAAAAACAAAAGAGAAATAAAAAATTAATGTAACGCAATATGCCATATATAAATCATCTTTTATAAACAAAGGTAGCATGCTAAAATGTGAAATTATTAAGAACCAGAAGCAAGGAAATGGATTGCTTTCAAAATATAATAAAACTGGAATTGCAACAAGCAAAATTGATTTTTCATGAACTTGAAATGAAAATAGAAAAAATGCTAATGCACAATTAATAAGAGAAATAATAAATCTTTCTTTCTGTGGATTTAAGAATAAATTTATACAACTTGGTAAAACTGAAAATGTAGTTAGTATTAAACAAATTTTAGCTAATTCCTTATTTGTAAAGGTATTACGTAATTTATAAATCACATTAATTGTACACCAAATATTTGCAACTTTATCTTCAAATATGCCTCTAGAAACTGGAAATAATCGAAAAACAACATTTATAAATGTTTCCCAATCTTTAATAAAAGGTAACCATATGATAAAAAATGTAGAAATTACTGTAATTGCTATACATAATAACATTATTAAATTAAACAACCAAAATTGTTTTTTTATAGGTGAATATTTTCCAAGTATATAACAAAAAATTGATAATGCATGATAAAGTTCCATTTGTTTATAATTTAATGCTGTAACAAATAGAAATGATCCAATAATAAAAGAATTTTGTAACATAGCTGTAATAGCACTAATAAATAATCCTAATGATAAAGAATTATATTGAAAATGTCCATGATCTATTAATATTAAACCTGGATAAATCAATATTATCAAAAGATTAATATGTTTTTTTTTTAAATTAAATATAGACAGTTTTTCTTTTTCAAAATTTTCTGGTACTTTTTTAGTTAATATAAAATATATCACTGATGGTATATAAACCAAAATATCTATACAAAGAACACTGAGCCTCATAAAATATTTATGATCTTCAGATGAAAAACCTCTAGATTCATGTAATTTTACATAAGAAGAATTAAGTTTATTAGCAACATAGCCCATTGCAAAACTATGATAAGCAGTTAATGGTGGATAATCTAATCCCCAATATTGTAAATCATTGTCTGTTGTATTTATGTACCATTTTTCAATTGGAATATTTAAAGTTATTTCTTGCCAATGTCGTTGAGCTTCATAATCTCCAAACATCGGAGGTTTTCCTTGACCACTATAGGAATGATATGTAATACACCATCTCAAAAGAAGGGCAAACAATGAGATTAATGCAATTGGTACATTTTCTTGCATTTTTAATTGTATATGTTGATAGACTTCAATAATTTATATATCAAATATATTCTTGATTAGGAAATATTTTCAGAAATAACATCTAGTTACCTGGGTTTATTGTGGAAAATTCAAGGTTAGAATGAAAGTAATCAAAAGAAATAAGGAACATGTATTCGATATAATAAAATTTATAAAATACATACCACATGTGAAGCGTTTAATCCTTCAATTAGCTTAGTTTGTATGTAATTCTCAGTATACGACATATTTAATAATTAAATTTTTAATTTGAGTCTTGTTTCGCTGCTTCTTTGAATACGTCGAGAAATGTTACTATATAATTAATTATTTTTATTATTAATCAAAAAATCAGTAGTTATTTTTATAAGTTTAGAATTTATAAATAATAAATGTATAATAAGATTCACTGTTTTATTTATTTTTTATTATAATTTTATTATAATTATAATTTTTTTAATTCGAGTAAATCATTGAATTTGAGTTAACATCAAAATACATATACTTACATGTACTTATTTTTTAAACTCGTTGATATTTGATTATAACGACTATTGTTATTAACTAATTTTCAAAAATTCGATTAATTAAACAATTTTAATATTTTCATATATTTTTTCATTATTTTTATTAATATTTTGATGTATTTAATAATTAAAAATTAATGCTTATTACCTTGAAAATGCTGATATTAACGGAAGTTCTTTCTAAAGCTGTTTGGTGGTACTGATATAAAAACGAGATTAAAGTCTAAAAAATTAACATACTTTTGAATTGTAGATATTGAACTTCATTTGCAAATAAATTCTACAATAAATTCATTTTTAGAAATACTTTAACATTTTTTAACATAAAATAAATACGCATTATAAAATTATAAAATAATATTTTTAATAATTACATTTTTAAATGTCAATTTATTTATTTAAATACAACTTGTTACAAGAATAACACTAATTTTTTTATATTAATTCAATTTTTTTAATGCTGATATAAAATAAAAAAAAATTTAAAATAAATTTAAAAATTACTTTATAGCATACATTTTTATTATAAATTTTCTTTTATATTAATCATAAGAATAAAAATTCATTCTTTTTTTAATAAATTATTTTATATATGTAATATATTAATATTGTATATAATACCTGATTTCAGTATAATATTTATAATAATAAATTAATAATAATAATAATAAATTAATATTTATAATAATAAATTATTCATAACAATTGTATTTTACAAATTCATTCATATTTGTATTATTTTTTTTATATTGTATTTTATATTTATTATATTTTTTATATATTTTTAAAGTTAGAAAAAATATTTTTTTATAAAAATATCTAAAATATATTTAATTAATGAAATTAATATTATATTTTCTCAAATAAATAATTAACACTATGTATATATTTAAACGTTTAATATATATATATTGATTTTAATATAATATAATTAAATTACAATAGTTTATAAAAATTATTATAATTACATGTTCTCATAACAATAACAATTGCATAATAATATAGGCTCATTTGAGCTTCCATAGGATTTCTATATAGAAATTTGAATTGTTCTTAAAACAATTTTTATGAAAAATATATATATGTTTAAATAAGTAAAATATTAAGAATATAAATTTTTATAATATGGGAGTTATATAATTTCAATAAATAAAAAGAGAATTATTAAGTTTCTCATAACATATAAAAAATTTTAATATTTATATTTCAATTATTTATAATTAATATAAATAAAGAATATGATGCAATCAGAATATATAATCAAAATTAGTAGTTAAATAAATATTATAATATTGATTTTAGATGCTAATTATTTTAATATTTGTTTAAAAGAAAGTTTTATTAAAAATTTTTTAATTTATTATAATTATTATAATAAAAAGTTTCAATTATGAGTTTTATATATCACATGTCATATATCATCACATTTAATAATAATATTAAAAATTACAAAAAAATAACAACCTGATATTAATATTATTTTAACATTTTTAATATTTTTTGTTCAATATGTTTTTCTTATAATTTTGGAAAAGTCTGAATGTTCTGCATGAAAAATGTGTGAATGTTGATTCTAATATATATTATGTATATTATGTATATATTATGTAATATATTATTATGGATTTAGTATACAATAAGCAATCAAATAAATTTTTGTTTTCTTAAAATGTAAAATTTTTCTTATATATATGAATATATATAATTTATAAATATTTTAATAATTAAGTAATTTTTGTAAATTTTTTTAGTACCTTTTTTTCGCACATTTAATACAATATAAATTTTATTTTATATAACTTTTTAAGCATATTAATGGTAATAAATAAAGTTTTAAATCTATTTGGAAGAGAAAAAGAGAATATTAGAATAAAATACTATTTTTGCATATAAATTATTATTTTAAAAATTTTTTCATTTGTTTTGTTTGAAATTGCATACTATATTGTGCATTTTCTGCTTTAGTAATAAGAGAATCTAACTTATTCAAATGAGATCCCATCTTTTTATTGATATCAATTGCTTTTGATGTTGCCGGAATAGTTTCTGTATTCTCTATGTGTTTTTTATCATCAGATAGTTCTACTATCAAGTTTTCTTCATTTATAGATGTTTCATCTATTTTGTTCTTTATCTCGTTATGATTTTGTTCAGTTAGTTTATGATCTGGTGTATTATTTTTAGATCCTACTTTTACTTTAAGTAAACTACCCAAACTGCCACAAATATTCTGTAAAATATCTTTATTTTACAAAGTCATACTCCAAAATATAACTATTATAACTAGCAAATATTTATCGTGTTTAATAATAATTACTTAAATATAATTTTTACTACTATTTTTATTAAAAAAATATATTTAATTATTTAACCTTAAATCTGTTAATTTTTTTTTGAGTAACATTAAGTATACTGTTTAATTCATCTAGTCCACCACTGATTCGTTGTGTAGTTTCACTAGAAGAATCCAAGTTCTATAAATTATATGAAACTTTGAAAATATTTGACAATACTATTTGACTGAAATTATTAATCTTTCATTTATGTAAAAAAATAATTTTGTCTCATTAATTATTATTATTTTCGTATAATAATAAAAATAAAAAAATTACAAAAATTAAAATTTTTAAGAAAATTAATATTGCATTTATAAATAAAAAAAAATAAAATTCTAATTAAAATTTTATTCAATAATAAAAAGGAATAATTACTTGAATCATTTCATCATCGTCATTATTAACATTTTCTTCAGACTTTTGTGTTTCTTTCCATTCTTCTTCACTTGGTATTGGCAATCCTAATAATTCCGCTCTTTCGCATGCATGAATATAGGCTTGAGACATTGTATCGATTGTGTGATATTATTAAATAATATTTGATAATATTTAGGAATAAAAATAGATTTATTTTATCCTAGATATTCTATGAATGTTACAATTGACAAAATATTAGAAAGGAACGAGAACGTACACTATTTAAGGGATCTTAAGATCTATATATTTTGAGAGAAATCGTGCGCATACTCCATTAAAAAATAAAGTTTTTATTCAAAATCGAATATTATAGCATAATAATAATAAGAATAACAGTTTATAAGTTATAAAATAGATTACAACAATATGTAGAAGTTTTTAATTTGACAAAATTATGCGATTTTGCAAATATCTAAAATTTTATTTTAGCATTTTAATAAGTATATAAATGATTAATTAATATTTTTCTATAAAGATTGATCTAAATAATTTTCTAATGAATTAAATTAAAAATAATAATAAATAAATTATTTCAAATAATAAAAAAAGTATTAATCAACAACAAATCAACTACGCATACATTTAAGGTTATAATACTTGTATTTAAATTATTTATATCGATTTAAAATTTAAATATTAGTAACGAAAAAAGTAAATTTAAAATATTTTTAAATAAAATTTAATGTTGAAAAATGGATAAAAACAAATTAATATAAACGAAAAAAAAAAAAATTTAAATTTCAAAATATTTTTATCATTTATCTTTATAAAAAAAAATAATATATTATATATATATATATATATATATATATAAATATAAATTATAATTATTTTATACAATTTATGTATACTATTGTATATTATATTAAAATAAATAAATAAATAAATAAATAAATAAATATATAAATAAATGATATCAATAAAATACTAAACATCATTTAATAATTATAAAATATATAGAAGATTTATTTCTTTGGGAAGAATACTTAAATATAATGTTAAGTATAATAATGTTTATTTTTACATAAATATAAAAATCTAAACTTAATAATATTTAATTTATCTTTGTGCAAAATAATAAATTTAATATCACAAGAAAAAATTTTATTTAAAATGAAATATTTTAATACTTACCAACTGAATAGAAAGAATACAATATATTTTCACTAAATATATAATTTAATATTTATAATAAACATATAATTTATAACTATCAATCATAGATGTTATAAATATTTTTAATAAATATTTTATCAAAAGAATAACTCCTTAAATAGATAGAAATAAATAGATAGAAGGCAGGAGGGGCAAAGGGAGAATGCAATTGTAATTAAAATATGAAAAATCTAAAATATATTAAAAGTTATTTAAGTTGTTTACAATTTATAATTAAAATATAATATAAAATATGTTTCATATGGAATATTTTTATTATTCATTTTAATTAATTTTTACATATAAATGTGAATACAATATATCTTATCATATACAGAATGCTCCAAAAATATGGAAATAAAAGTTAATTAAAGATTTTTGAAGTAATTTCAAGCAACATTTTGCAAAAACTTTTGTTACGATTTTATTAACAAGTTATTAATAAAAAAAATACTGACCAATCACAAAACGCATAGTCTAATCGAGCTATGACGATAGCATTGGTTATGTCCCCAATCAAGCATGAACAACAAAATCCATATAATATATGTCAAATATATATAATATATAATATATATCATATAATATATATAATATAATATATATAATATAATATAAATAAATATATAATATAATATATATAATATATATATAATATATGTCAAAGAAAGTATATTAAATATTATAATTTATTCAATATTCGTGATATAATTTGATATAATTTTTTATCGATAATAAAATATTTGTTACATTCAATATATTCATTATATTTAATATATATTATACATACATTATTTGAACATGTCGTGTTTGATCGGTGGTACATAACTAACGCTACAATCACGGCTTGACTAGACCACATGCTTTATAATTGGCCAATGTTTTTTGTGTAACTTGTTAACAAAAGCATAATGAAAGTATTTGAAATTACTTTAAGATTCTCCAATTAATGGATATTCCCATATTTTTAAGACACCCTATATATAAAAATTAAATTAATTTATTTTTATATTGTAAAATATATTGGTATTTTAAAATCAAAAACAATAAATATTTAAATCTTAATTATAATATCTCAAGAAAGAATAATAAGAAAATGTTGATTAATCAACTTTATTATATTAAAAACAAATTAAATTAAAATTTTTTTTTAAATAAGATAATGTATTTCATAATTTCACACATTTTTTCGTTTTTAATATATTTGTATAAATATGTTATTTATTTATATTATTGTTTAGTTAAAAAAAAAAAGAAAAAGTGAAAAATTCTATAAAGATTGTAAAAGTTTAAAAATTAAATTCAAATTATCAAAGTTATCAATCATATAATGTTATTATGTTATTATATATTGTTATTTTTAATTATATTACTAATAATAAATACAGGAAGACATGTAAAAAAAAACATATAAAAAAAAGAATAGAAAGAAGATTTTGTCCAGTAAATTAAAAGGAAAATGAGCCAATCACAGCATAGTAACGGCCAATGAATCGGGAGAGTTCGGCTAAGTGAGGTAAGAACGGTTCATTTTGTGAATCTTTCGCAATTCGCTTCAGTTTGCCACGAGGGAAGGAACGTTTGTTTCGCGATAGAATGTTTTTTCATGCTGCAGTTTATATCTATCATATATAGGCAGCTTTAGCTAGGTGGATTAACATGCGAAATTATTCATTATTTACACCTAATTGTTGATATATTTCCTATGGAAATATGCATGGTGTATCAAACTTTAATCAGAATCTTTTTGGCGATGCCGTTTGACAGCTTAACTCTTTTTTAAGTTTGAAATAAATTCACTTTTCTGGCTTGATATAATTGTTAAAAGGATCCGTAAATTATACGCCAATTGGAATTTACTTCAAATGGATTGATCTTTTCTCTTGATCAAGGAATTTTGTTCGGTGAGTGTTTACTTTTACTTTTCTGAATGATATACACACACACACACACACACACACACACACACACACACACAATAATTTGATGTTGCCTTATATAAATATTTGAGGAGATTCAATGCTTGAATAAATATTCCGTTTTACTATTATTGAGAGATCCTATATAAAATTCATATAATAAAAAAATGAAAAAATTTACGGAATATTTATTGCGTTATATTTTTTCATTCATTGAATTTAAATTTCATTGTATTTATTTCATATTAAATTTTAATTTTTTAAATATTGTTAATTAACTATCGTTATTCTCAATTTTTAAAATGATTTTAGAGAATAACATGCAATTGTTTATTTTGATAGGATTTAAACATTCATATCGTATTTGAATCTTATTTATATTTAAAGAAGAAGAAAAATAGGATTTTTAAGAAAGAAAAATAGAATTTAATAATATTCTTAATAATTCCTGATTTCAAATTATGATTATTATTTTTTTATACGATTGTAAATATTATTAGAAAAATTTTATAAGTCATAAATGTTTTATTTTAAAGTTTTATTTTAAAGTCATACAAGTTATTAATATTAATAAATTCTCTTGCATATAATAAAAAAAATATTATAATAAAATGAATAAAATTTTATAAATAAATTAAAAAGATATAAATAATAACTATTGTACCATTACCATAACATAATTCATTTTACCACAAATACAATAAATATTTTCATATCTATCATATTTATTCGAAAATGATGCAAGTATAATTCTGTATATCTCATTTGTTTTTAATAAAAATATTGCTTACGTTACGTACAAAAACGTTTCTACTTTTAATAAAAGTATGAAGAATGAATAGTATGAATAGTATGAATTCATACTTTGTATGAATAGATGTAGAATAAGTAAAAATAGAATTAATAGACATAAGAAGATGATAAAATAGGAAGACAGATTTTTTCGGAGAAAATTTATTTTGAAAGAATAACATTTTCAATATAATATTCAATAAAATTTTCAAAATTTATTTTTTCATTTTTTTGAATATAATTTAATATAAAACGTAATCTCAAATATAAAGGTTTCTGATTTATCATTTTATTATTTACAAATTAGAATAATAGTTTGAGACAATATATCGAAATAAAATAGGTTTTTTTATTAATTTTATTATTTTTTTCTTATTTTAATGTTTTTTCGAAATATTTTGTTTTATGTATAATTTTTTGTTGTCTTTTTATAATTAAAAATTCTTCATAGTGAACGTCATAGTTGAAAGAGTGATTACTCAACATTTTAGTAGGCGTTGTATAATTGATTAAATCAATCGTTTAAATTGTTGAATAAATTCAATCAATTCGAATAAAGCGATTAGATTATTCATAAATTCGAAAAATTTTTGTAATTCGATAGTAAAATTTTTCAATAATATATGTTGCTTCAATATTACGTTTATTATAATATTAAGATTATACAAACAGCTTGAGCTGATCATTAACCACAAAACAGTGTGATTAACTAGTATTTTCTTACATTGAAACTTTTTATATTATAATTTAGAATAAATTTTTGAAATTTTCATTAATTCACAGAATACGGATTGCGGATAGATGGATTAAAAATGATCTATATCAAAATATAAACTTATTTAATTTTCATTATTGGCATTATCACTGATTATTAAATCGATAAAATAAGTAAAAATAATTCAGCCATTGAAATGTGAGAATTAAATATGCAAAATGGCAAATGAATTGTTTTTTTCGTAAAAAATAATTATCTTTATATTAATTAACGAATAAAATTTATTCATATTATTGTCTTAGAATATTATTATAAATAAATTATATTAAGTAATAAAAAATAAAAAATATTTTTTATTTGAAATTGTTTACAATAAATGTATCTATTAATTAATATTCCTATGAATAAATTAGAAATATTTAACAAATAATATTATATCTAAATGAAATGCATACAGAGTATATGCAAGATATATAACTAAACTTGACAGAGTGAAAACATCTCAAGTAAATTTAAAATTATCCATAATATATTATTCTAAAATCTAAAATTCAATTAAAACAATATGTTTTGAATTTCATTGTGTAAATTCTACTTGCTATTATTATTGATTGCTGTTTAGATAAAAATGAGTTTATTACATTCATGAGTATATTTATATATTTTTATTTTCAAAAAACTTATCAAAAATTTTAATGAGCTTGGAATGTATTGTTAAAAACATATACATAATATAATATATATATCCATTTTATTTATCTAATTTAATTAATAAAAATGCAATGATATAGGTTAGGTCAGAAAAAATGCAATCGCATATCAGAATATTAATAATATATTCTTTGGACTTTATTCATGATAAATTTATTCACTTTGTTAACTTTAATATATACATATAGTCACTTTCATAAAAGTCTATTTATTTAACTGTTTTAATATGTTCTTCACAATGTTATTTTGTTAGGAAATGCATCCACTGTAAACTTCAGCTGAGTCAATCCGGAAACTATAAAATCTGGAGTTTTTACTTACATTTAACTATTTTATAATTTTCTAACGATGCGTTTACGAACATAAATCTTTAGAACTTCTGTTATTTTTCTTCCTTCATTCCAATCACGAGTATTTTCAAAGTGAAAAAAAAATACAATTATCATGCGTGAATTCGCGAATCTGTTAAATACACTCAAGAAGTAAAATTCACTGATTCAGATCCTCGTGACCGAAATCGTGACCATTATTTACCTCGTATATATTTAAAGTAACAGATTGGTTAAAAATTGACGTTCTGTTTGCTTTTTGCGCATTAAAAGAATAAACTTCTGAAGAAATATTGGTTTTGAAAATATCACGGTTTCGTCGATACGTTTAATTTCATGTAAATCAAATAAAAAAAAAATACATGTATATTAAGAAACGTAATTTATTTATATAAATTCTTTTATAATTGTTTTGATTTACTTATGCATATTGTTAGTCTCAATAATAAATTAATTAATTAAATTACAATAAAAGTACAATTAAAAATATTATATAGTGCCATTTAAGAAAATATTGATGAAATAATATTTTTTAAAAAGAAATAGTTTTGAAAAAAATTTCTTTCAAATAAAATAGTTTTTTTCTGAGAAGTTTTATGACAGAACCGACAAATAACAGAGGTATGTCTTTATTTCTCGTGATTCAGTCTACAGATATATATATAATTTAAATAATTTATAATTACATAATTTAATATTTATAATTAAATAATTTATAAATTTTGCAATTTTTTAGATAATATTATGTTTTATACAATATTAATCGCTGTCTGCGAGGCGTTATTTAAATTGTATAATAACTTTTTATGAGCGACATGAATCATTATTCGGATGCAAAAGGTTAAAAAATATCAGATATCGGTTGGCTTTAACAAGAACTTCCATTCTAGTACAGATAAAAGTGGAGGATTGGTTGATCTGCTAAAAATATGTCACCAATGTTAAAAGTTATCAGAAATCGAGGATACGGAGCTTAAGGAACTTCCCAAGATTAAAAAATTCGCATTTTTATAAATATTTCTGATGAAACATTTATAACATGAATAACAAAAATTGTACATTAATGAACAACATGTACAAATATCTTGCTTATATATTTCACGGAGTTTATGTTATATAATAAAAATTAATATGTATATTTGCTTAATCAAATGCACAAAATCAAATTTCAACTTAGTTTTGTTTTTATACCAGATGGGTATAATGAGATTAAAAAATGATTATAACAATCATAATGGGCATAATGAGAATAAACAAAAGATTATAACAATCAAACTGTTATTGAGTGGAAAATAATCATTTAATGTTTGTCTTATGTCTGTGTCTCATATTTGCTATTAAATAACTTGATATTCGTTTTAATATGAAATTTTATATATATATGTAAATATATAATAATATATGTATTTGAAAGAATGAATATATGACAAAATTGGAGGAAATGATTATTCAGAAATTATATATTCTCTTTTAGTTGTAATAATAAAAATTTATTGATATATTTCTTCCATAAGTCTTTTGATTTTATAACAGTTTTAATACATACTTGACATACTTTCAACTAATCTTAAAGTTTAATCTTGCGAAATTTGATTTCACTATGATTCAACTCAAGCGTATATAATTTCAGCAAAGAAACATTTATTGATCAAAAAATTATAAACTGAATAATTTAATAAAAAAATGTTTTATTAAAATAATGTAGAAATTGTTAAATTATCATCACATTGATATAGTATTAAATAAGCTATATGTAATCCTTTGATATAAGTTAATATATCACTTTGAACCTGCAATCATATTAAAATTAACAGTTCGTGTTCGAATGATTAATTCATGCTCTCTCCATATCTTTCGACAAAAGAAAAGGACTTTGAAACCGCACATGTATACCGATGAGTTGGCAGGCTAACAGTTCGTTATATTACAGTTGCTATACGCATAATAATATATATACAGGATGTCTGAAAATAGATGGTATAATAATATGTATATAAGACCGATTGTTGCAAGAGAAATATAAAGTGCTGGAAAAAAATCGTTTAGAGTTAATTTTCAAAATCTATAAGAGAAGAAATATAGACATAAATTTTAAAATCTTTATTTCTAAAGGAAATAAAGAAATTTATCAAAGCTTGATTATAATTAATTATAGAAAATAATTAATTATTAGAATTATTAAGTATTAAAAAATTTGATAGAATTTTTATTCGCGTAATTTAATTATTCATAGTTTCTAATTAAAAATAGCAGTATAAAACGATTCAGAATCCACAGATTGGAAATCACTGCTATAGACTATAGATAAATTTTATATAAAAGAAAAATATTTTTTCTTTTTTTTCAAAAAAATGACTTTTACCCGAATCTTTGTATGTCATTTGTTTTAATAAAAAAAACACATAAGATATTTTCGTTCGTGGATACGAAAAGATTAA